CTACCAATCATGAAAACTAAATTCACCAAATTGTAGAGGGCCGATTTGGGAGGAAAGGGGCTACAAACTTTGTAACTGAAAAAGAGGATTCTTCATGACATTGAGACTTTCTACAGTACTACAGTGGTGGAATTGCCCATGAATGTGACTGACCTTATTTAATTCCTGGGTTGAGAGAGTTTTGAATGCAATGCTTGCTGTTGCTGAGTAAACAATCACAATGATTTTGTGCTTCTGGAATATTTGAATCTTGTCTCAATGCACATGACAGATCAGAAGTATAGATTTTGATAGCAAGGTGACATTAGTTGTGAGCTCTTGTGAAGAAAGTCATCAGCTTTATCTTCTTTAGAGTTAGACTGTTAGGATGGGTATAAAAGATGGATCTGTAAATCTTTCTTAGAAATGTATTTCTTAAGCCGGGCTCGGTGGCTCAGCCTGTAATCCCGCACCTTTGGGAGGCTGAGGTGAGTGGATTGCCTGAGCCCGCGGGTTCGAGACCTGCCTGGGCAGCAAGACCTCATCTCTACAATAAATCAAAAAATCAGCCGGACGTGGTAGCGCATGCCTGTAGTTCCGGCTACTTGGAAGGCTGAGGCGGAAGGATCGCCGGAGCCCAGCAGGTCGAGGCTGCGGTGGCCGGGAACGGCCACAGCACTCCAGTCTGGGTGACAGATTGAGACTCTGACTCTAAATAAATAAATAAATAAAATAAAATATTTAAGAACTGTATAAAATCAGCCAATTATGTCAAACTAACATATTGCCTTTTTTGTATTTGTTATTAGCCTGAATAGAAAGGTCTTTAAAATTTATTTTTTAGAAAGTATTTGAATGCATTTTGTTTGGTATTGTATTTAGTCAACAAGGTATGTAATTAATGCTAACTGTGAATTAGACCCTGTTGCTAAGCCCCAGCAAGTAGTCATATCCTAGATAGGGTTAAATCTCCAGTAAAATTGCCATATTACACGTCTTAATGAAATTTGAATATTAAATAAATTATATATTCACTTTTTGAAAAGACTTATATTCAGCAATAAAAAGGAGTGAACTGTTGATACATGCAGCAACCTGTGTGAACCTCAAACACACTATGTTGGGCAAAAGAAGCCTGACCAGAATAGTATATACTGGATGATCCCATTTATATGAATTTTTAGGAAAGGCAAAACTAATCTATGGTGAAAGAAATGAGGACAGTGCTTGCCTCTGAGGGGGTGCAGGGTTGACTGGGAGGACTACCAGGGCATTTTATGGAGTAATTGAGGTATTCTGTGTTTTGATATAGATGTGGGTCACGTGGTGTGTTTATCAACACATACTCATGAGGTCATGTGGACTTAAGATCTGAGACTCTATTGTATTTAAATTAAACCTCAATTTTTTTTTTTTTTTTTTTGAGTTGGAGTCTCACTCTGTCGCCCAGACTGGAGTGCAGCGGGCCGCTCCCGGCCACCACAGCCTCGACCTGCTGGGCTCCGGTGATCCTTCTGCCTCAGCCTTCCAAGTAGCTGGAACTACAAATGTGTCGGCATTCCTTAAGCCTTTCTGCTGATCTCTTTTTACAACTTAAAAAAAGTTTAGCCCAACTTAATTTTTTTAGAGTTAACTGTATTTATTATTTATTTTTTTATTTTTGAGTTGGAGTCTCACCCCGTTGCCTAGACTGAAGTGTAGTGGCACACTCACAGCCATCCCAGCATTGACCTGCTGGGTTCCAGCAATCTTTCCACCTCAACCTTCCAAGTAGCCGGAACTACAGGTGTGCACTACCACACCCGGCTAATTTTTTTTTTTTGTAGAGATGAGGTTTCACCAAGTTGCTCCGGCTGGTCTCGAACCTGCGGGCTCAGGCAGTCCACTCGCTTCAGTCTCACAAAGTGCTGGAATTAAAGGCTAAGCCACCGAGCCCACCCATTTATTATATGTTAACTGAACGATAAATTTTTCTTTTTTTTTCTCTGAGTTGGAGTCTCACTCCATTACAATCACGTCAGCATCAACCTGCTGGGCCCCGGCAATCCTTTTGCCTCAGCCTTCCAAGTGGCCAGAACTATAGGCATGCGCTACCACACTCGGCTAATTTTTTTATTTATTATAGAGATGAAATCTTGCAAAGTTGCCCAGGCTGGTCTCGAACCTGTGGGCTCAGGCAGTCCACTCACCTCGGCCTCCCAAAGTGCTAGAATTACAGGCTGAGCTACCAAGCCTGGCTGATAAATTTTTCAAAACAAAAAGTCAGTGAGAAAAATGGATCATGTTAGATTTCTGTACATCTCTTTAATATCTGCTGTATTCTCCTAGCTGCTTCAGCACTCGGTCTATTGCAACAATGCACATAATGGAGCCGCTGGAAAACTCCACTGTACTTTGGGGAGAGAATGAATGAAAAAGGCAGAGATTGTGTCCGTATTGTTATAGGACACAAAACTATAGGAAATAGTTTTGACCTGGGAACCCTTGAAAGAACCGCTGTCTCCTATGAAAGCATGCAATAAATTGCATTCTCCATAAGACTTAGGCAATTCTTTGAGACCTAAGCTTTTTTCCAGACCAGCACTTGATAGCATAGGACGTGTTCCCCAGGAAAACAAATAAAGCTTGTGTACCCCTGGCTTTAACTTATATGCAGAGACTCTTCTCCTAATTTTCTTTTAAAGAGATTTAAGGAAGTAGAGCATTTTCTCTACTTGACCACATATACAGAATATAGCTGGCCTTTTAGATGTGTCATTTTAGCAGCACAGAACTTAACCGGGAGAGCATTTGCCCCAAGCCCAGAATCTTGCAAGAACTGGTAAGCATTACTTTCTTTGACTTTTTATTTTAGAAAAACTTCAAACATATGCAAAAGTAGACAGAATAGTATGCTACACTTCCCTTGTACCCATTATCAAGCTTCAGCGGTTGGCAACTTGTGGCCGGTCTTGTTTCATCTGTATCCCGCCCATTTCCCTCACCAGTATTCTTTTGAAGCAATCCCATGCATCATAACTTTTCACCCACAGATATCTCGGTATGCATTTTTTAAATGTAGACACTCTTTAAACATAACTACAATACCATTATCACACCTAAAATAAAATCAAATATCACCAAACACCTAGTCAGTGTTCACATCTCCAATTGTGCCATAAATGTGTAGGCCTTGGAGGCAGTCTGTTTTCCTTTGTATAGTTTATCTACTTGACATACTCAGTCTTCCATGGTCACTATAGCCCTCAGGCGTCCAGGTAGCCTGAGGTCCTGGCCTGTGTCAGGGTGGAGAGGGCTTCTGCTGACTTGGTGTCCAGCCCTACTTCTGTCGCCATTGCCCACGGACAGCTTCAGTGTAGAACAGTATGACCATCGAGTCCCACCTCTTTGGGCTCATTTTGACCTCATGAGCGGCTAAGGCATTTTTTCACATGTGGAATTCTCTCCTAAGGATCAGCACCATAGCACAACTATTTCAGCAGAAATACGTCCTAGAGTAATCACAACTTTGTAGAAGATACGTGAGAGATGCACGGCTCAGGAGTATCTCATTGTGATAAAGTTTCAGTGAACAGCTCCTTGCTTATAGATTGGATTACTTTTTTTTTTTTGGAGGGGTCAGGGTCTCACTGTGTCACCCAGGTTGGAGTGCAGTGGAATGGTCACGACAATCATGGCTCATGGCAGCCTCGACCTCCTTGGCTCAGATGATCCTTCCACCTCAGCATCCCGAGTAGGTGGGACTACAAGTGCGTATCACCACACCCAGCTAATTTGGTTTTTCGATTTTTTTGTATTGATGAGGACTCACTCTGTTGCCCAGGCTGGTCTCAAACTTCTGGGCTCAAGCAATCTGCCCACCTCAGCCTCCCAAAGTACTGGGATTACAGGCATGAGCCACTATGCCCGGCCTGGATTACAATCTTTGAGTATAAATGGTAAATGTTTTATTGCCAGGTCACTTTCTCTTTTTTTTGAGTTGGAGTCTCACTCTGTCACCCAGACTGGAGTGCAGTGGTCGCTCCCAGCCACCGCAGCCTCGACCTGCTGGGCTTCAGCGAGCCTTCTGCCTTCCAAGTAGCTGGAACTACAGGCGCACGCTATCACGCCCGGCTAATTTTTGGTTTATTGTAGAGATGAGGTCTCGCCAAATTGCCCGGGCAGGTCTCGAACCCACGGGCTCAGGCAATCCACTCACCTCAGCTTCCCAAAGCGCTGGAATTACAGGCTGAGCCACCAAGCCCGGCTGCCAGGCCACTTTCTAAAAGGGTTGCCCTGATTTCTTTACCTTCAACAGCAAATGAGTTTCTAGATCTCATCACATTCTTTTCAACTTAGGAGGTTGTATTTTCTTTTTAAATTTTTCCTACTAATTTTAAATCTGGTTATGTGGTTTCTTAGACTAATTTATTCAACAGCATTTATTTACCATCTGTGCTGTGCCAGTATTCATGTTGAACAAGACACATCTCTGTCTCGTGGAGCTCCAAGTTCAGTGAGATAAGTAACTGGCGGGAAGAGGGATGCTTAACTCAAGTGTTAGATTGGAAGAGGGGGACAAGTAGGGAATGTTTCCAGAAAAAATTTTCATCCAAGCTGAGACCTGAAAGGCAAATTAGTTAGCTGTGTGCACATAAGTATAAAAGAGCATCCAAGAAGAGGAGAAAAGCATGTGAAAAGGCCCAGAGACAAGACAGGACCACTGGAGAATCAGAGGGAGCAAAGGGGAATACGGGACGGAGGTCAAAGCACCCTGGGGTGCTGACGCTCAGGAGCACTGGGAAGACTCACATGCGATAGCACATCATTTTTCTGTGGAAACCCTGTATGAATCCCACAGCATAATACATGTTAAATCTTACCTGTAGTGGTGACTTGACTCAAGTAAGTACAATAAAGACTGATTAAATATCTGGACTGGTAAGAATGTTATGTAGAGTTTAGAAGTTATTTACAAACATATTTTCTTTTTGGTCTGATTTTTGGTAAGCTTCATCAAATTTTTGTTTTCTTGGTTGCAGGGTTCAAAAAGGATTCTTCGCTCCAATGAGATTGTCCTTCCAGCTAGTGGACTGGTGGAAACAGAGCTCCAATTAACCTTCTCCCTTCAGGTGAGGCCCCACTAACTCTTAGGGCTCTAATGTGCTCATCTAGTCTAGTCCCCAAATCATCCTCTCACTTGCAGACTGTTTGATCCAAGAACAGTCATTACCCAAGTTGGGCTGGAATTAATAAAAGGCACCTGGAGGTACATGACTAGCCTGGGCCAGAGCAGTCCCTTGGCAGCCATGACAAGGGTGCTGGGACACAGGTAGGCGCCCTCCCTTAGCCACCTGCTGTGCCCATCACCTCTCCTTAGTAATTCACCCCCAGCACACACCCTCATGGAGGGTGCCATGATCTCCATCTTCCCTTCTACTCCTTATCCCTCCTGGTGTGTCTCCCTCTCATCCTTATCCCGTTAGCCCAAATGGAAACACATGGCGAAGACACTTGATCAGATGCCAAGGAAAGAGGCAGTCTTCTGAGCAGGTGTGGCCCCCAGAACTATAGGCTGGAAACCAAGCCCCAAACAAAATCAGCTCCTCCAGCCACAACTTGATGGCTGTCCTTTCACACCCTGGCTCTTACTATCCCCTTTTATGGATGGGAAAAATTGACGCACAGAAAGATTGTGTATCCTCTGGGAGGACCAGAACTCACCAAGGACCCAATCATCTGTTAACCATGCTTGACTCTATTTTGTAATCCACAGTATCCTCATTTCCTTAAGCGAGATGCCAACAAGCTGCAGATCATGCTGCAAAGGAGAAAGCGTTACAAGAACCGGACCATCTTGGGCTATAAGACCTTGGCTGTGGGACTCATCAACATGGCAGAGGTGAGAGGAAAACAGTCTCCAAACTGATGGCCTTTAAGTCAGGGGGCCAAAAGAGACACCAAGCCAAGCCATTTGAGCCCAGCAAATGATTTTCCCCACCTGATGGCTAGGTTTTACATTTTACTTTACAAGTTAATTATTTTATTGGAAATTTAAAGGTATACCTCATTTTATCAAGTACCTTCTCCTTCACAAAAAGTTTTCTTGGGACTGGGTGTGGTGGCTCACGCCTGTAATCCCAGTACATTAGGAGGCGGAGGCAAGAGGATTGCCTGAGACCCAGGGTTGGAGATCAGCTTGGGCAACTTGGTGAGACCTCGTCTCTACAATAAATCAAAAACATTAGCCAGGCATGGAGGCACACATCTGTGGTTCCAGCTACTTGGAAGGCTGAGGCAGAAGGATCGCCTGAGCCCAGTAGGCCAAGGCTGCAGTGGCTGTGAGCACTCTACTGTACTCACCTGGGCAACACAGTGAGACTCCGACTCAAAAAAAAAAAAAGAGAGAGAGAGAGGCTCCTAGAAACCCCTGGAGGGCAACCAATGCTAGGTGCTGCTTCAGCGCTCTAGCTTGGGTGACAGAGTAAGACTCCTACTCAAAAAAAAAAAAAAAGAAAAAGAAAGTTTTCTTGGCTAGGCACTGTGGCTCATGCCTGTAATCCCACAGCACTTTGAGAGGCAAAGGCAGAAGGATTGCCTAAGCCCAGTGGTTCGAGACCAGCTGGGCAACTTGGCAAAACCTCGTCTCTACAATAAACCAAAAAATCAACCAGGTGTGGTGGCACATGACTATAGCTCCAGCTACTTGGAAGGCTAAGGTGGAAGAATTACTTGAGCCCAGCAGGTTGAGGCTGCAGTAGCCACGAGCATGCTACTGCACTCCAGCCTGGGCTACAGAGTGAGAATTCAACTAAAAAAAGAGAAAGAAAAAATAGATTTTTTTAACTTTTAAAAAATGGTTGGACATGATGGCTCACACCTGTAACCCCAGTACTTTGGGAGGAGGAGGTGAGAAGATTGCCTGAGCCCAGGGGTGTGTGACCAGCCTGAGCAAATTGAGGAGACCTCATCTGTACAATGAATTAAAAAATTAGGGCTGGGCTCGGTGGCTCATGCCTATAATTCCAACATTTTGGGAGACTGAGATGAGAGAAATGCCTGAGCCCGTGGGTTCGGGACCAGCGTGGGCAACTTGGTGAGACCACATCTCTATAATAAATCAAAATAATTAGCTGGACGTGGTGGCGCATGCCTGTAGTTTCGGCTACCTGGAAGGTTAAAGCAGAAGGATCGCTGGAGCCCAGCAGCTCGAGGCTGTGGTGGCTATGAGCAGCGTGCCACTGCATTCCAGCCTGGGTGACAGAGTAAGATTCTGACTCTGAAATAAAATAAAATAAAATTTCAAAAAATAAAATTTTAGGCCAGGCTCAGTGGCTCAACCTGTAATCCCAGCACGTTGAGAGGCCAAGTTGCCTGAACCTATGGGTTCAAGACCAGCCCAGACAACTTGGCAAAATCTCTTCTCTACAATAAATAAAAAATTAAATTAGCTGGGCTTGATAGCACGTGCCTGTAGTTCTGGCTACTTGGAAGGCTGAGACAGAAGGATCACCAGAGCCCAGTAGGTCCATGCTGCAGTGGCCGTGAGCATGCCACTGCACTCCAGCCTGGGCAACAGAGTGAGACTCCAACTCAAAAATAAATAAATAAATAAAAATAAATAAAATTTCAAACTTTTGGAAAAGTTATAAGAACAATAAAAAGAATTTCCATATGCCAGACTCACCCAAATTCTTTAATGTGTTACTATATTTGCCTTATTTTTTCCTTATGTGTATGTATTTATGCATGTTATTTTCTTTTCTGAACCATTCGAGACTAGGTTACAGGCATGACACCTCATTATACATTAATACTGCATGCACTATGTTAGTTCCTTAAAATGAGAACACTCGGGTGGTAGTTCACGCCCATAATCCCAGCACTTTGGGAGGCCGAGTGAGAGAATTGCCTGAGCCCACGGGTTCGAGACCAGCCCAGGTAACTTGTCGAGACCTCATCTCTATAGTAAGTCAGAAAAGTAGCCAGGCATGGTGGCACGTGCATGTAGTTCCAGCTACTTGGAAAGCTGAGGCGGAAAGATCACCTGAGCCCAGCAGGTCGAGGCTGCAGTGGCCGTGAGCATGTGCCACTGCACTCCAGCCTGGGTGACGGAGTGAGACTTCAACTCCAAAAAACAACAACAACAACATCAACAAAAAAATGAGAGCGCCCTCCTGTCTAAGCACTGTGCCACCACAGGGATAAGGACACTAACATGATAGATTACCTTCTGACCTACAGTCCCCATTTGATTGTGCCAAGTGTCTCATTAATGTCCTTATGGGCCCAGGATCTAATCTAAGATTATGTATTGCATTGAGTTGTCATGTCTCTTTAGTCTCCTTCAGTCTGTAGCAGTCCCTAGATTCTCCTTGTCTTTTGTGGCCTTAACAGCATACAGGCAGGGTATTTTTTTTGCATGCTTCTCTGTCCGGGTGCACCTGACACTGCCTCAAGACAAGCTTCCGTCTGTGCATTTCTGGCAGCAAGACCACAGGAGCAGAGCTGTGTTCTCAGCACAGCACAGGCAACACCTGTTGTCCATTGTTCCTTTCCTGAGGATGTTGACTGGGTCACTTGGTTAGGATGAGATGTAAAGTTTTTCCACTATAAAGTTAATTAAAGCCGGGTTCAGTGGCTCAGCCTGTAATCCCTCGCCTTGGGAGGCTGAGGTGAGTGGATTGCCTGAGCCCGCGGGTTCGAGACCTGCCTGGGCAGGCGAGACCTAATCTCTACAATAAATCAAAAAATTAGCAGGGTGTGGTAGCCCGCACCTGTAGTTCCAGCTACTCGGAAGGCTGAGGCAGAAGGATCGCCAGAGCCCAGCAGGTCGAAGCTGCGGTGGCCGGGAGCGGCCACTGCACTCCAGTCTGGGTGACAGAGTGAGACTCCAACTCAAAAAAAAAGTTAATTAATAAGCATTTAGTGCTTATTGAAAACATATTTTTAGGGAAATATTTTGAGGTAAAACTCACTGGTTTTAGCATCTATTAATTATTCTTGCCTGAATTAGTTATTACTATACTTTGAAACTTACCAAACAGTGAATTTTGGTTTTGGGGGGGGAGTTTGAGTCAGCATCTCACTATTGCCCAGGCTGTAGTGCAGTGGCATGCTCACGGCCACAGCAGACTTGTCCTGCTGAGCTCAGGTGATCCTTCTGCCTCAGCCTTCCTAGTAGGTGGAACCACAGGCACGCGCCACCATGCCTGGCTAATTTTTTTTATTTATTGTAGAGACAAGGTCTTGCCAAGTTCCCTAGGCTGGTCTCAAACCCCTGAGCTCAGGCAGTCCTCTCGCCTCTGCCTCCCAAAGTGCTGGGATGACAGACGTGAGCCACCATGCCCAGCATAACAGTGAATTTTGAATCCTACCATTCCTTCCATATTTGTTTGTTGACTTTCTCTTATAAAATTGTTATTTTCCTTCTTTCTCATTTACTGATTGATTCATTTACTTGTATGAGTTATGAACTTGTGAATTCCTGTTTTATTCAATGGCGTTTAATCTACTACTATTTTTTTTTTTTTTTAATGCTCAAATTTTCTCAGATCTGGCCAGTGGGAGCCCCTTCAAGCTGACTTCTGTGTCCTTTTTGATATGTCTAATTCTTCTTTTTTTGAGTTGGAGTCTGATTCTGTCACCCAGGCTGGAGCGCAGTAACTAACGCAGCCTTGACATGCTGGGCTCAGGCGAGCCTTCCACCTTAGCCTTCCAAGTATCTGGGACTACAGGGGTGCAGCACCATGCCCAGCTAATTTTTTTATTTATTGCGGAAGTGAGGTCTTTCCATGTTGCCTAGGCAGGTCTCGAACTCCTGGGCTCAGGCAATACTCTCGCCTCGGCCTCCCAAAGTGCTGGGATTGCAGGTATAAACTACCATGCCCAGCCTTTGCTATTCTTTACATGCCTCATTACTTTCTGGTACAAAATATTTCATGCTTGACATGTCCTTTTTCTGAGCTAGCCCTGGAATAAACTGATTCTCCAAGGAACCCTCGTTCCTTTTAGTGGAGAATGGTGTTGAGAAATCAAGATCTGAGTACTGGAAGTGCCCATTTTCCCAACTAGGGTGCCATTACTCCTGTTCCCTCTCTGCAGACAGAGCTAGGAAATATATGTCTGTATATGCATATGTGCTCATATCACAAGCACACACCCATCACATCTGTTTCTAGAACTAGATTCATCTAACCATAAGCACACACTGATCATTTCAATTCTAGTCCAGTACCATGGGGCCCATTCTAGCTTTTATTTTTTTATATTTTTAACTCCCATCTTGGACAGGAAGAAACTAGGCTCCCATAATTCTCAATATGTTTGCTTAGCGGTGCATTTCTCCTGTGTGCCAGGCAAACCCTCTCAGCCCTGACATGGGAAGAAGAGAGGGGCCATAAATCAGTTTTTAAAAATTATTCCTGGCTGAATGTGGTGGTTCACACCTATAATCCAGCGCTTTGGGAGGCTGAGTCGAGAGGACTGCTTGAGCCCAGGAGTTTGAGGCCAGCCTGGGCAACATAGCGAGACCTCATCTCTACAGAAAGTCAAAAAATTAGCCGGGTGTGATGACACTCACCTGTAGTCCCAGCTACTTGGGAGGCCGAGATGGAAGGATCACCTCAACCCAAGAGGTAGAGGCTGCAGTGAGCCATGATCATGCCACTGCACTCCAGCCGGGGCAACAGATTGAGACCTTGACTCAAAAACTAAAAGTGAAATAAAAATTATCTCTATACTTGAGTGAATTTAATAGGGGAGGTTTTGTGACCATAATAGAAAATATGAGATAGTTCCAGCCCATCCTTTTGCCCAGTATCAATGTGAGGGACTGGGGAAGTGAATTCATGCCAGCACCCCGTTGCCACCACTGTGTCACGCTCTGCCATTCCCCCTGGACTAGGCTCTTTGTCCTCATTGCCAGAGACAGGCAACCACCCACTGTCGGCCTGGCCTCACTCAGCCTCAAGAACAAGTTTCTCTGTGAAGGACTTAAACTAAAATGAAGAGCTAGACCTGAACAATCATTTTCTGTCTCAAGTCATAATTGTCATCTTTACCCACATGGCTCTGACCAGCAACTGGAACTTCTGGAGATAGTTTTAAAGACCTTGCAGTAGTAGGAAAACAGCGTGAATTTGAAAGTGACAAGGAAAATGTATTAGCAGAATGTCATTGCTACTGGCCCATGTTTCCATTCGGATGTATTTATTTAAACGCCTCCATAGTAAGGTGTTTCCTCTGCCGCTCCTTGACCTTAGGTAATGCAGCACCCTAACGAAGGTGCTCTGGTGCTTGGCCTACATAGCAATGTGAAGGACGTCTCTGTGCCTGTGGCAGAAATCAAGATCTACTCCCTGTCCAGCCAGCCCATCGACCATGAAGGAATCAAATCCAAGCTCTCTGGTAAGCTGTGGGCAGTATCTAGACAAAGAGGGAGCCAGCCCTGATCTCCATCTGAGGAAAACTGAGCACGATGTTGTCTGAAATGTTCCAGGGCTACAGAAGTTTAGAGACTCCTGAAAGTAAAACGTGGTCCTGGCCTCCCCTGTACCCCAACTGTGTTTCTACCCAGAAAGAGCCATTGATACCAACCATCAGAGGCTCTCAGGCCAGGTCTTCCCATTACCAGGTTAGCTCACTAAGGTGTCTGTTCCAGATCGTTCTCCGGATATTGACAATTATTCTGAGGAAGAAGAGGAGAGCTTCTCATCTGAACAGGAAGGCAGTGATGATCCATTACATGGGCAGGTAACTTTCCACAGCCCCTCATGTGGGTGTCTGAGAAGCTCCGGGGGTTTTCCAACCTCATTTTGTCCCCCTACCCACTTAGGACCTGTTCTACGAAGATGAGGACCTGCGGAAAGTAAAGAAGACCCGGAGGAAACTCACCTCAACCTCTGCCATCACAAGGGTGAGCCTCAAGGTTCTGGGGAGATGTTGGCTAAGATTTTCAGTTTGGGGATAGGATGGGAGCTCTATATTCAAACTCAACAGAGACTTTGAAGAAAATCTATCAACACATGCGCATCCCATCAAGATTCTGTACACTCCTCTGTGTGTAAATCCCGTCAAGATTCTGTACACTCCTCTGTGTATAAATCCCATCAAGATTCTGTACACTCCTCTGTGTATAAATCCCATCAAGATTCTATACACTCCTCTGTATAAATCCCATCAAGATTCTGTACACTCCTCTGTATAAATCCCATCAAGATTCTATACACTCCTCTGTGTGTAAATCCCGTCGAGATTCCCCACTCCCCCACCCCCGAGAATCACTGATGGAGGCCACCACTGTCACTGACAGGCTGCGTTACAGTCGTCTGGTCATCATAGGATAGAAAACAGGTTAAGGAGCCTTGTTGTAGGATTTGGAATGGAGAATCGGTCTTCAGGGAAGAGACACCCTACCACCCCTCTCCAGGTGATTGCTTCACCTTGCATACTGTCCACTACAGAGATCAAGCCAGCTCTCCCTAGGAATAGTGCTGTTTTTGATCGTTTGTTGAACTGACCCAGAAATAATAGGCTAGTACTTGGGTACTCCTGTGACTCTGGCCTTGATAAGGTTTAATTACATTAGATATCATTACGCCTTAAAGGATTCATAACCTTGGAGACCAGATTCCTTTGGATACATCTCCTTTGGATTCAAGGGTCACTCTTTTTGGTGACATTCAAGTCCTGGACAGAAAGGCTAAAAGCCTAAATTCCTAGGTGAACTTTGATTCTGGAATTTCTGGCTAAAGTAGGGGAAGGGGGTCAAAAGTGCTAGCAAATTTTCAGAAGAGGAATTCACTGCTGCCTTTCCCCAGAGGCATTCTGGTTCTCCTAGTACAGAGCTAGCTTGGGGACCAAACCCCAAGAGCAGAGATTCCCACCCCTTCAGTGGTAAAAAGTAGGCCAGACACTGCTGTCATCTCTTCAGTCACCCTGAGGTATCACTGAGCTTCAGGGTAAATCTTCAAGACTGTGACCTTGATTTCTCCATCAAATCAATGACTAGGGAGGTGAGAACTGTCTAACCCTTGGTTGGTGCTCCAGAATAAGCCAGTAAGACATGTCACCAGGGCCCTAAATGTGTGACCTCCACTGTGCTCTGCTAATGGGGAGTGGCTGCAGCTACCTCTGCTAAGTTTTTCTTTTTCCTTCTTTGTCATCAGAAAATGGACCTATTTCCTTCCCCAAGGGTGTTCCTTGGAGCTTTGTAATTTACCTCTTCCTGTGTAGGGACTCTTCTATAGGGCCACCCTGGCATACAACAGAGTTCAGTGCTCCTTGATATCTGCTTCCCAGGAGGTTTTTTTTTAACTGCAAGCACTTGCCCGTTGTAACTCCAGAGATTTAGTAATGGCCCTTTAGTTGCTGCCTCCCTCTGTGCACGTGCGTTCTTCTTTTCCACCAAGAACACACTGTTCTGGACACACGGATCTGCTGGCCCTTCTCTGAATGTGTCTTGAGCTACTCTGGTGCTGTGAGCTCAAGTTTTTCCTCCACCATGAATACCCTTTCTGCCCTTTCTTGGAGGCTTATCGGTCTTAGTTGCAAGTTAGTTGTTTCCATCTGCAGATGGTGAGTCTGTCATTCAGGCAGGAAATGTGTATGGCATAAACTAAGCATCATGCCTGGAAACATAGAGTAAGTAAGGCCAGTCCGTGTCATCAAGGAGCATAGTGTCTAGTGACACTGACACATCTCAGCAAGTAACTACAGTCCGGTAAGATTGGTGCCATAAGACAGACCTTTGCATAAGGGATATAATGACACCTAGCGAAAAGTGGCTATCTGCAAATGGGATTGCCAGAATAGCTTCATAGATGAGATGCCAAGAGATGAGTTTTGAAAGATAGATAAGACTTCAAAGTGGGTTTGGGGAAATTTTTCACTCAAGGCAAAAGATACCCTATATAAAGGCCCAGTACAGCAGCATGCAGTTTCTCCCAAGAATGATAAACAGTTCGTTTCCTCTTGACATTGGGGTGTTAAAAGGGTCAGATGGTGAGATGAGGCTAGAGACAGGCAGAACCAGGCCTCAGACACTTACAGGCCTGACTGTTGAGCTTTGCTCTCCAGGCAGTGGGGGCCAACGAAGACTTCCAGTGGAGGATGGCATGGCCAGATTTGCATTGAGAACGACCACTATGGGCTCTGGAGGGACCAAGACTGAAAACGCTGGGCAGGGAGTGGCATGCCAGTAGAAGGCCATTGCCATGATCCCAGAGAGACACCAGGAGAATACCCTGGAAGTTCACAGTGGAGTTACAGATGGAAGGGAGAGGGCAGGAGTTAGCCAGCATGGGGCTGTGGAGAGAAAGGGAGGAAGAGACTCCAGATGTAGATGTGGGCAATGGGGTGTGTTGGTGACATCAGCAACAGAGATCGGGAATCAAGGAGATGATGAGTTCCACCGCAGGCGTGTTGAGCTTGAGGCTTCTGTGGTGTGGTGTAGACACAGCTGGAAATCATCAGTTGGCACCAGAAGGACCAGAGACAGATGGAGACCGCACATTTGGGGGTGTCAGGGGACAGAGGAGTAGAAGGACCTGAGGACAGAGGATTCCTCCTCCCACCTGTGCCCAGGGCACAGGAGCTGCGTTGGGATCAGTCACGCATGTGCCGTCTTCCCCGACAGGCTTCACGCAAAGGTGGAACCCGAGTCTCCTGTCTCCGTGCCCTCCCACAGCTCTTTCTGGAAGTGGGCTCTTGACTGGTGTCTGTTGACTTGAATTGACACAAGTAGATGTTGTCTGAGAACTCTCGTGCAATTTGTCCCTACAGCAACCTAACATCAAGCAGAAGTTTGTGGCACTCCTGAAGCGGTTTAAAGTTTCAGATGAGGTACGACCCCTTGCTCCCAAGGTTAATCTATAAGCCACTAGAAAAGAAAAGTGAGAGTTTTGCATGAAGCCCTCCAAGTTTCATGGTATTTGGAGACGGAGTTCATACAGTGATGGCCACCCATGAGGTAGTGCCCAAGCCTCTGGTATGGGATATCAGTAACACATCCATCTGGTTGTTGTTACTGTTTCATTTTCCCTCCTATCCCAAGGGGAACATCAGTGAGCAACAGCCCGTGGGGTGGAAATGTCCTCAATGGTCAGCCCTTGAGTCACTAGGAATTCCATTGATAGAGAAGCAGTCTCCTTCCTGGGCTCTGGACGTCCCTGTACCAGTTTTCACAAGCGCCTCAATGCACTAAAAAAGGGATGAAGATGAAGTTGTTGAGAGAGAGTTTTGTCTTTCTAAGGGCTCTCGAGAGGAGGTAGAACGAGCCCACACAGGCCTGGTCCTTGGGTTTCCTTGGGAGGATCACGTTAGCATTTCAGCTTTTCTTTCTGTGCAGTTTCATGGTGTGGCGTGTTGGGAAGGAATGGAGGGGGGTTGGCCTCCCCACATCCCTGCCCTCAGGGATGGATCTTGGAGAGGATAAGACACCAAGATTCATCCTGCAAGTATGAGGCTATAGGGTGTCCCTTAAGGGGAGATGTAAAGGAGGCCAGTTGACATCTGGCCCAAGGGAAAGGAATCGCTCATCTACCAGAATTGTTCATAGGCATAGCCCCAAATTCAAAGACTTCTTTCCCCCACAGGTGGGCTTTGGGCTGGAGCATGTGTCCCGGGAGCAGATTCGAGAGGTAGAAGAGGACTTGGATGAACTGTACGACAGCCTGGAGATGTACAACCCCAGCGACAGCGGCCCGGAGATGGAGGAGACAGAGAGCATCCTTAGCACTCCCAAGCCCAAGCTCAAGTGAGGCCCAGACCTCCCCTGTAGATGGCCTCTGGACTCCTCCCCCGGGCCACCACGGCCTCCTGAACCCCCTCCCTCGCCCTTGCCTCTACTTCCAGGGGTCTTGGTTCTTCATCCCTTCTGAGCCTCCAGCTCTCCAGGCAAAGGTCGCTGTTTTTGCCTCTGACAAAAGTCCTGCTAGGACTCACAGGAAATCCCACCACCCATTCCCACCTCTCCACCCCCATTGAGTCCTTCTAGGCGCTCAGGTTGTCGATCCATCCTGAGCACCGGCTCGCCTCAGCTCTCTGGGCGCTGTTCTGAGTCCCAGTTCCACTGACCATGGCTTGCTCTTTGCCACAGGCCCTTCTTTGAGGGGATGTCGCAGTCCAGCTCCCAGACGGAGATTGGCAGTCTCAACAGCAAGGGCAGCCTTGGAAAAGACACCACCAGCCCTGTGAGCAAGACCGACGTTGGTGGGAGCGGGAGGGACATGGCATGTCGGGCTCAGCGCTCTGGGCCCTCTGCTTCTCTGACCAGGGAAAGTGAGCTCATCTTGTTTCAACCACAGTTTTCTTCACCTCAGTCCTGTCTGGGAGCTTAACCTCTCTAAGGGCATTGCTGTGTCTGGTCAGGTATTCTTTCTGGTCTGTTCCCACCATGGCAGGAACACACAAAACCTCCTCAGAACCTCTCCCTCCACATCTGTCACGTGGTAGCTGAGAGTGTGTGGTGTGGAGGAGGCGCTTGGCCCGTGGTAAGTGACTCTGTGCTCAGCTAGGGAAAGAACAGTTGTAAAGGTAGAGAAGCCCACCAGACGTGCTCAGATGGTGAACAGGCTTTATTGGACGGCGAATTCACAGAGGGGAGCAGTGCCCTTCAGAACTTAGAACTTAGTCAAGAGGTCTCCATCTTGCCTGGTGAGCAAGAGGAAAAGGGCCGCGCTTGGTCCCTCCCTGGGAAGGTCACAGGCAGGAGCCTGGGTTAAGGCTGAACCTACCTCAGGCCCTGGGAGGCTGCTCTTCTGTCCTTTACAGCTGAAGGCAAGTGGGTGTCTTGCATGGTTGTAGTGGCGAGCTTGAAAGCCCGGTGTCTTTCCTGTTGATCAAAGAAACAGAATCCTTAAGTCTGCCTGTTCTGCTTTACTAGCAGATGAGGCTTATGGCCATTACTCACCAGTGGGAATACAAAACTCGCCCTGCAGCTAGCTATCAATTGTGAGGAGATAACATCCACCTGCTGACAGGCATGTATCTGAATGGGCTGGAGCCTGTCCTCAGGTCTTGAAACACCTTCTCCTGGGGCATCTTATGGCTGCCTTTCTGCCGACTGCCACCAGGTGGGGCTCTCCTCCAGCTTATCACTCCGGTTAAGAAACAGACTCCACCACGAGGTATTAGGGTGGCAATAGGGGGTGTGAAAGTCGGCAGCCCACCCCCTTACCTGAGAAACCTCAGGCCTGCCCCTCCCAGACCCTGCAGCCTCAGCGTCTTTCCAGCCTCTGCAGCCGAGGAAGCCTCACGTTGTTCAGTTTACATGTTTAGGATGTGGCTTAGAGCTGCTTCTCCTCACAGGGGACTGCTGAATGACCCTGCTGATTTGTCATTGTCCATGTGGGCAGACCACTGGCCACCACAGCCAGATTCCCTCTTGAATATAAGGCCTAACTCTTCTAGAAAGAAACCTGGGAGCTGGCTGAGGTGCTGCTGTTTCATAGTGTTCCAGGAACATGATGTTCCACTGTAACAAAGTATCATTCAAATATTAACTGAGAGAATGCCTACTAACCACTAAGTGTAACATGAATACATGAATGGTGAACAAATACTAGTGATTGTTATTAAATCAATAATAGAAACTATGTCATATAAATGAAGGTGTTAGCAGTGGCTCACGCCCGTAATCCTAACACTTTGGGAGGCGAAGGCGAGAGGATTACCTGAGTCCAGGGATTCGAGACCAGCCTGGGCAACATGGCAAGAACTCATCTTTACAATAAATGAAAAAATTAGCCAGGTAGGAGGCGCACACCTGTGATTCCAGCTACTTGGAAGGCTGAGTGGAAGGATCACCTGAGCCCAGAAGGTCGAGGCTGTGGTGACCGTGAGCGTGCCACTGCACTCCAGCCTGGGCGACAGAGACTACAACTAAAAAAAAAAAAGCCGGGCTTGGTGGCTCAGCCTGTAATCCTGCACTTTGGCAGGCCGAGGTGAGTGGCTTGCCTGAGCCCACGGTTTCGAGACCTGCCTGGGCAACTTGGCGAGACCTCATCTCTACAATAAATCAAAAATTAGCTGGGCATGGTAGTTCCAGCTACTCGGAAGGCTGAGGCGGAAGGATCACCGGAGCCCAGCAGGTCGAGGCTGCAGTGGCCGGAAGCGGCCACTGCCCTCCAGTCTGGGCGACAGAGTGAGACTCCAACTCAAAAGCAACAACAATAAAAAACCGAAAACAAATGAAGGTGTTTCTTCATTTAGAAGAATTTGTAGGTTCTACTTTAGTCTCAGTTTACAAAAACGTAGAGGAAACAATCACCTTGCTGCTCTGAGTCCCTGGTGCCTTCTCTTTGAGATCATGGTGTGGGCTCAAAAGCTAGCTGAGTGTCCGTTTTTTGCAGTATGATGGCCTGAGGGCCCCGTTTAGATCTTTTTTTTTTTCATGTATCTGGGGCGGTGGCATTTCTGAGTTTGAATGTTGATTCCATCACTCAACTGTGCTCTTGGAGTGTTGCCAGGCCTTTGTTTCCTCATCTACCAAGTACATGTGAAAGGCACACTCTTCCCTGCGGTGAAGCTGCAAGGTCACGTGGGTGAGCTCAGCTGACTGACCTGTGGACTGATTTCCTGCACGAGGAGCCTTGCTCACTGCTCAGTAAATCCTGCTGCTGTTGTTATTATAATTCTTTAGTGCCATTTCTGTTTTTCAGTTTTGGGACTCCGAAAGTTGGTGGGATCTAGATGTGTTTTTAATGAGTCCTTCGGATTCTGGTTCCCTTGGCCAGATTCCAGACTCACTTGCTGGTTCTCTGCTGATATTTCTATTTTGAAGAGCCCCATATGTCTTGATGTGGGTGTGGAACTTTGGAATCCTTTGGGATGAAGGGCGCTTTGGAAACGACAGAACAAGGTCATGCTCTTAGATAGAGAACTTCTGAATGGATTAGGAGAAACCATGAACTTGTCAGACGTGCGCATGCTGCCTCAACCTGGCGTCCTCTCTTCCCTGACTTCCTGGCATTGTTATTTATTCATTTATTTTTCTTAATCTTCCTTTTTGTTTCCTGGATTTTTAGAGGATTCAGTTTATCACTAGAACCAGAAGGAATTTCTGCTGATACAAATTATTGCAGTTGTTGAGTTTTCTCAAGACTCGAGCTCACAGTAGCTCACAGCGGCAGCTTATTTTGGTTCTCCAAGCTGATAACAGTAGCCCCTGACAGAGCTTCTGTTAGGGTGGCCGCAAGATGCAGGCTTTCAGCCAGAGCTGCCTGCTGCTAGTAGCGCTGTGCATGATGGTGTTAGAGACCAGTCCTTCATAAAAAACGATGCCCTACATATTGCCTACTCCTGGCCCCCACCACACATATGTGCACACTCTTCAGCAGCTGACATTGCCCAGTGGGCCCAGTGGTGCAGACTGCTGGGACCTCGAGATGCCTCATCTGTGCCCCATGCCAAAGAGACAGACACAGCTAGAGCCCATCTGGTCCTCCAGTGTCTTGGAGGGAGAAAAGCCATTTAGTGTTCATAGGAGCAGGAGGAGAAATTTGGAGAAGCTGGGAATTTGTTCCTAGGAGGATTGTCTGGAACATCGTAGAGTCAGTAAATAGCCAGCAGTTACCCTCTAAACCTAATCCATGTTAAAGATGTTATCAAGAGATGGCTGTATTAATTACTTTTGATTTAATCATTTCACAATGTATATATGCATATCAAAGCATCAGGCTTGGTGTGATGGCTCACACCCGTAATACCAGCACTTTGAAAGCTGAAGTGTAGAGGATTACCAGAGCCCAGGAGTTTGAGACCAGCCTGAGCAACATGGTGAGACCTCATCTCTAGAATAAATAAAAAAGTTAACTGGGCATGGTGGCATGTGCCTGTAGTCCCAGCTGCTTGGAAGGCTGAGGGAGAAGGATCACCTGAGGCCAGCAGGTCCAGGCTGCGGTAGCTGTGATCATGCTACTGCACTCCAATCTGGGTGACAGAGTGAGACTCTGACTCAAAAACAAACAAAACTAAGCATCATCTTGTACATTGTAAATATACACAATCTTTATTTGTCAGTTATACCTTAATAAAGCTCGGGGGGATAAAGGTCTTATTAAATGTGGCAGCTTTGTCATGGAAACAGTACTGTGACTGTCATAGGGCTTGACAACAAGGGCGTGATACTTGAAACCTCCCAGTGGAACCCAGCTCATTCTCTTTAAAATATATTTCATTCGTCACACTCAGTTTCCAAAATGGAGTGAAATTATCTTCAGTCTTAGGTCTGCACAGGGCTTTTCCATGATCCCAGACTCTGTCGGCCTTGGTTAATCATACAGACAATGTGTAAATGATGTAAATGAACTAGCTCTGCATTCTGGAGGCAGGCTGTTCTGTGTGGCTGTGAGCCATTCTGCAGTCACACCATCCAAAGGTCTAGGGTCACAGGGTCAGGCCAAAGTATGTTGAGTTAGTCTTGCAGATGGCCCAGAGCAGTGGTTCTCAACTGGAGGTGATTTTGCCTCCCAGGAGACATTTGGCAGGGATTGGAGACATTTTGGGTTATCACAAATTGGAAGGGGGATGGCTGCTTCTGGCAACTCGTAAGCAAAAGCCAGAGATGCTGCTGAATTTCCCATACAAGACAGCTGACCACAACAAAGAGTGATCCAGCTCGAAATGTCAGTAGTGCTGGGGTGGAGAAACCCTGAACCTAGAGTATGACACAGGAGCCTGCTTTGGGGATCCTTAATTTAGGGATCATTAGTTTGCCATGTGACTTCCTGAATTGATAAGCTTGGCGTTTCTCCGTAGTTATATGATTTACTCAGAGAAAGGACTCTGAATAATTGGAAGGAAATAATTGAGTAAAAGGAATTGAATAATTGGGAGGATATCCTTTATATTTTCTGGTTCCTGTGGTTCCTACAAAAAACAAAGGTTCACTGAGGCGAGTATTTTCCCCTGTCTAAGATTGACTACCTACAAGTCACTGCTCATGACTTTCATTTGGTGTCTGCACAGACAGAAGCAATATTAGCAAATTGAATAATCTGGTTATGTATCTGTATCTGCAAAGCAAATTTTTAATATTTATGAGAAATGCTAGTAAGAGTTAAGGACAAGTGGAGAATTAATTTACACCTAAAGACATTAACATTAGGTGTCTTTTTGCTTAATATATTCTGTCAGAGGGTTTTCTAGAAAATTCTACCAAGCAAAAAGCATTTAGTCTCAGAATCAAAAACTTCAGCTATATAACATACGTAACTGTATGGCATCGCCCTTCCTCTGACAAGCAAAGGTCCCTGTATATCCATCCTGGGCAAGGGTGTTTACTGAATCTCCAGGGTCAAAGACTTCATGGATCTAGTAGCAAAGCTAGGCAAACTTTGAACTTTCCTTTCCTAGTGGCATCTTGTGGGAGTGAGAATTTCTGGGTTCCACAGAAATGGTGTAATGATTACAAAGATAACTGATCCCTCCAAAGCTTGGTTTTCACAAAAATATATCCCCCATAAGATAAAAGTCCTAAAGGTTTTATGACGTTGAAGATTAAGTGAAAGTATTTTAAGCTTCATGGGAACTAGTAAAACAAGTTAGAGTGGTAGTTATTTGGATCAAGGAAAACTAATTGTTACAGTTTTTGCAGATGGAATTGGCTGCTCTGGAAAAAGTCAAATCTACTTGGATTAAAAACCAAGATGACAGCTTGACTGAAACAGACACTCTGGTATGTATGGTTCGGTTTCCTGTTGTGACTGTTTCAAACAGCATTTGTCCCTTCAGAAATAAAGACAGAGAGACCCTCAGTACTGCCCTGGAAATCTCACATGAATCAACGGACTGTGAATGTCCTGTTGTTCTCTTTCTCCTAGAATCCTTACCTGCATGACGTAACCTACCTAGACACCAGGTCATTCCCGAAATTAGCACACCAAAAATGTCCTTATTCTGCCCTTTAATTAGAACTGATCAACTGCTAGTTTGGACAGTTTCTCGCAGTCTGTCTCCCTTGGTTTCTTCCAAGAAGTGATGGCCAGGGTCTTCCTCCTTGGCTGGTGCTCAAGGGCAGCATTTCCACAACATTAAATCTCCGAGTGAGCCGAGCTCCGTGGCTCAGCCTGTAATCCTTGGGAGGATGAGGTGAGTGGATTGCCTGAGCCTGTGAGTTCGAGACCTGCCTGGGCAACTTGGCAAGACCTCATCTCTACAATAAATCAAAAATTAGCTGGGCATGGTAGCGCGCACCTGTAGTTCCAGGTACTTGGAAGGCTGAGGCGGAAGGATGCCGGAGCCCAGCAGGTCGAAGCTGCGGTGGCCGGGAGCGGCCACTGCCCGGCCACTGCACTCCAGTCTGGGCAAAAGAGTGAGACTCCAACTCAAAAAAAAAAAAAAAATCTCCGAGTGGTTTCTGGTCAGGTCCTTCCTCTGAGAGGTTAGAGCTGCCCACGAGTGCTGGTCAGAGCCCTAGTGAAGTGGAATTGAGCTGGCTGGAATGCCCACTTTACACACTGAATTGCACACGTCTGCTGTGCACCTGCTTGTACCAAGCACTGAAGCTGCAAAGATAAGTGAGCCATGACCTACCATCACGGAAACCCCTCCATCCCATGTGCACATCTGGGCCAAGACTCTGTGGAGCCCCAGGAAGGTGGGGGGGGGTGCAGACTGGGAAGGGGACATCTGATGGGCTTCGCGATACACTAAAGTTCAGCCTGTGCCCATGGGTTCGAGACCCGCCCAGGCAACTTGGTGAGACCTCATCTCTACAATAAATCAAAAATTAGCTGGGTGTGGTAGCGCACGCCTATAGTTCCAGCTGTACTTGGAAGGCTGAGGCGGAAGGATCTCCGGAGCCCGGCAGGTCGAGGCTGCGATGGCCGGGAACGGCCACTGCACTCCAGTCTGGGCGATGGAGTGAGCCTCCAACTCAAAAAAATAAATAAATAAAGTTCAGCCTGTGGGATTGGGTGTGGAGTGTGGGGATCAGAGAACTTTGTGGAATGCTGTCTGGGGGTGTGGCGTGCATGAGCCTCACGCTGAGGCCTGCTAGTGGATGAATGGAACCTGAGAAGGTTATTTCGGGCTTACTTTTCCTGTAGTAAATAGCACTAGTTGAAAGGTCTTGTGTTTGACAAAACATGACGATTCAAGATTACTTTAAAATTCATTCTTCCAACTTACACTCCATAGTTCACCCATAGTCTGAATCCTACAGCTTGCACTCTGGCCCACTGTGGGCCACACTGAGCGTGGCAATTATAGTGGTCTTGTCAAAATGAAATTCCACTTATGCCACTTCCTGATTAAAACTCTTCAGTGATTGACCAAACCTCAGAGATTTAATCTCAGATTAATGACAAAGAAGCCAAATGCCAAAAAACACATGCCCTGGGAGTTCACTTGCATGAAATTGTAATTACAAACAGGCAAAGCTGCCGGGCTCGGCTCAGCCTGTAATCCCACACCTTTGGGAGGCTAAGGTGAGTGGATTACCGCGGGGTCGAGATCCGCCTGGGCAACTTGGCAAGACCTCATCTCTACAATAAATCAAAAATTAGCTGGGCGTGGTAGCGTGCGCCTGTAGTTCCGGCTACTCGGAAGGCTGAGGCGGAAGGATCGCCAGAGCCCAGCAGGTCGAGGCTGCGGTGGCCGGGAGCAGCCACTGCACTCCAGTCTGGGTAACAGAATGAGACTCCAACTCAAAAAACAAAACAAACAAACAAAAAAAAGCAGGCAAAGCTGACCCATGATGGCAGATGACAGAATGTTTATTACCTGTGAAGGGAGAAGGGGCATGTGGGACCCTTCTGGGGTGCTGGAATGTTCTATCTTGATCTGGTTAATGGTTACCTGGGGGCATACCTGTGCAAAAATTAAAGTTTCCTATTTTAGATTTGTGCTTCTTAACTTTGTAGAAGTTATGCCTCCGGAAACATTTTGAAAATACGAGGAATGGGCAAAGGCAGGGAGGTAAGCAGGTACGCAGCCTGCATGGGGAGCAGAGTCCTTCACGAGGGCTGGAGCACGAGGGGCGTGGTGGGCCCCAGGGGGATGTGTGGGAGATTGACTTAGAAAGGTGGTCCGGGCAGGTCATGGGGAGCCTCAGAGGCCCCCCCAAAGAATCAGGACTTCATCCTAAGCAGTATGGAACTACTCATGTGCTTTGACTAATGTTGTGATACAGTTACTTTTGTGCTTTAGAAAGACAGCCCTGGTTTGGGTAGGCAGGATGATGTGAAGTGGGGGAATGGGACTCGTGAGGATTGTTGATTTGGTTTTTTGTTGTTGTTGTTTTGAGTTAGAGTTTCACTCCGTCGCCCAGGCTGGAGTGCAGTGGCACACTCATGGTCACCACAGCCTTGACCTGCTGGGCTCAAATGACCCTTCCAAGTAGATGGAACTACATTGGCGTACCAACACGCCTGGCTAATATTTTGGTTTATTGTAGAGACAAGGTCTTGCCAAGTTGCCCAGGCTGGTCTCGAACCCCTGGGCTTAGGCAATCCTTTCACCTCTGCCTTCCAAAGTGCTGGGATTACGGACACGAGCCACCAAACCTGACATGTGAGGATTGGCCTGAATTCCAAAGGTGGGACAAAGGGGATAGATGTGTGAGAGGCCAGAAGAGGGACGGGCAGGAGTCAGCATGTGGCCAAAAAGGGAAGGGAGAATCCAAGGGAGATGTGGGTGACTTTGGCCAAGGTGAGGGATGCAGCTGCTAACCTCCTAGTCCACAAGGTCATACCCTGAACATTTCAGGACCTTTCTAAATAAGGTCAGGGAACTAGGGAGACACACATAGGGTCCCCTCTTCATTCCTGGAGAGGTGAACCATCAGTTCACTCTTTGTGTGCTGGCAAATCGCTTGTAAATGTAGAGGGTAGAGCTAGCCAGCAACTTGCTGTGTCAGCATGGTGACTGCACTCAGTTAAATTAAATAACAGCATAGCCAGGCGCAGTGGCTCAAGTCTGTAATCCCAGCACTTTGAGAGGCCAAGGTGAGAGGACTGCCTGAGCCCAGGGATTCGAGACAAGCCTGGGCAACTTGGTGAGACCTCATCTCTACAGTATATAAAAAAATTAGCTGAGCGTGGTAGCGTGCACCTGTAGTTACGGGTATTTGCAAGGCTGAGGCAAAAGGATTGCCTGAGCCATTAGGTCGACGCTGGGTTGGCCATGAGCATGCCACTGCAGTCCAGCCTGAGTGACAAAGTGAGACTCTGACTCAAAACAAAACAAAACAAAAAAAGCATCAGTTGAGGTAGGAAGTTTAGGACCACATGCTATAGGGAAAGAGAGAGAACAAATAACTCCTCATGATGGCGCTGGGTCTCAGCAGGACTCCAAGAAGGCTCCTGGTTGGCCAGCGCATGAGAAGTAACTCACTGTTTCCTCTCCTCCATGACAGGAAATCACAGACCAGGACATGTTTGGAGATGTGAGCACAAGTCTGGTTGTGCCAGAGAAAGTCAAAACTCCCATGAAGTCCAGCAAAACAGATCTCCAAGGCTCTGCCTCTCCCAGGTATGCCAGGTTGGAAAGAAGCAGAGGATCCGAGCCTGTGACTGCGCATAACACAGGCTCCAGGGCCTTGGGAAAGTGTGGCTGGTGGCAGCTTTGGAGCTGGAGGGGCTGCTGAACCACCCTCTTTTCACATCCCTGGCAGCAAAGTGGAAGGGGTGCACACCCCCCGGCAGAAGCGGAGCACACCCCTGAAGGAACGGCAGCTTTCCAAGCCCCTAAGCGAGAGGACCAACAGTTCTGACAGCGAGCGCTCTCCGGACCTGGGCCACAGCACACAGGTACTTCTGGGCCCCCTAGCAAGGCCGAGACCGTCTGTGTTTTGTCATCTTCCTTGCACAGTTAGTTGGAGGGGAAAGGAGAAATACTTCAAAATGCTCTGAATAAAAACTCCTGAAGAAAGGCCTCAGTTAGAAAAGTCACCTGTTTCCCTACCTGCCGCCAGCGCGAACTGGCTCCTGTGTGAACCTGCAGAGAGCCTCCATGCTGGAGCTTGTGCGGTGACTCAGATGTTCCAGAGGGTGGCAGCCACCAGATCTCATGGGACACGCCGACCGGAGCGCCCATCCTTTGGTGTGGCTGTGGGTCGGTTATTGTGCTCTCAAGCGGGTAAACCAACAGTATTACAGGCTTTCAAGTGAAAGGCCTGAGAGTGGGCTGGGAAAAAAGCCGGAAGACACTGGGCCTCGGAAATGCATTCTCTCTTCGAAGGCCTGATGGGGCGGGTGCTTGGGGAAGGGATTTTTCTGGCATACCTCACACTTTGCCGGTTCTTCTAGAGTTAAGCAGCCAGGCTGCTCATTCCCCTGATAACTGTTATCGAGGGAGAAGTGTGTGTCAGTATGGCTCCCTGAGTTTGATGCCATTACATAGCTGAAAATGAAGCCGAGACTAGAATAGCCCAGCGCCCGGGGTGAGGTATTGTCCTTCTTGTTAATCACGGTTCCTGAAATACCTTTTGTTCCCTTGGACAGCAGGTCTCCACACAGCTCTCGCTGCCACACTCATTATTTCTCTCCCCACTGGCCTCATTTCCGGCCCTCGGAGCGCCTGCTGGCCGCCCCTCGCTCCCCCCACCCAGTACTTACCCTGCTCCTCTGCCGCCATTCCCCTTCCTCGAGGCTCGCTGGGCCTCCAGCCGCTCCTGCCCACCCCAGCAGGACGACCGCTGCGGCTTTGTCCCCGAGGTGTCAGCATGTCCTCTAAGGACTCGCCTTGCTTATTCTTTGTCCTTTTCCTTTCCATGTGGTCTGGCTCTGGGAGACTGAGTCTCCTTCACAGGCTCCTGGTGTCTCATCTGTCTCCAGGGAGCCTCCACACGCCAGTCCCCCAGCCCTGCCCTTGAACTCCTTGGGGACTGCCTCACACCAGACACCTTTGTCCCTGCAGATTCCAAGAAAGGTGGTGTATGACCAGCTCAATCAGATCCTGGTGTCAGATGCAGCCCTCCCAGAAAATGTCATCCTGGTGAACACCACAGACTGGCAGGGTCAGGTACACATTGAAACTGCAGGACTGGGCGGAAGTTCTAGAAGGCAGGTGGTGCCCAGGGCGTGTGAGCTGAAGACAGCACGTGGTGATACAGAGAGTGATCCCCCTCCTTCAGGCCCCCTGAACCAAACTCAGAGCTCTGGGGTCGAGTCCTACTCCTATCATTGTCCAGCCTGTGGGATCTTAAGTCACTAACTTTTCTGTGCCTCAACTTCCTTGTATGTTTAAAAGAAACAAAAAAAAAAAACCGGCTCGGTAGCTCAGCCTGTAATCCCGCGCCTTTGGGAGGCTGAGGTGAGTGGATTGCCTGAGCCCACGGGTTCAAGACCTGCCTAGGCAGTGAGACCTCATCTCTGCAATAAATCAAAAAAATTAGCCGGGTGTGGTAGCGCGCGCCTGTAATTCCAGCTACTTGGAAGGCTGAGGCGGAAGGATCGCCGGAGCCCAGCAGGTCGAGGCTGCGGTGGCCGGGAGCGGTCACTGCACTCTAGTCTGGGTGACAGAGTGAGACTCCAACTCAAAAACAAAAAAACTAACAAACAAACAAAAAAGCACTACTTTCTGCCTAGCCTGCTCTCCCAGGTGCCATGTGTGTCAGGCAACAGGGTGGAATGGAGGCACTTTGCGAAGCACCAAATGCTGTGTCATCAGGGCTTGTCCCTGGCCCCCTCGAAGGCACTTCAGCAGGGTGCCTCCTCACCCCCTGTACCCAGGCTACACACTGGTGCCAGGGATACCTGGCATGTTCTAGCATTTACAGCCCCCAAGCCTTCCCACCTCTCGCAATCACATATCTTGTGGGTTTGGCCCCACTTCCTCTTTACTGGCAGCCAGGAGAGCTGCTACCTTTGCCCAGCTTTGGTCTGAACAGTGGAGGACAGGTCTGCAGCCCGTTGTGGGCCTTGCTTGCAGGTTCTCACCTGCGTCCCTGCCCCTTTCCTCCCTGCGCTAGTACGTGGCCGAGCTGCTGCAGGACCAGCGGAAGCCTGTCGTGTGCACCTGCTCCACTGTGGAGGTCCAGGCTGTGCTGTCTGCCCTGCTCACCCGGATCCAGCGCTAGTAAGGGCTCCTGCCTCCCTCTCCCGGCCTCCTTCTGGCCTCATCCTCCCACCCTGACTTCCAAGCAATAACGGGCCCTCCTGGCCTCTCAGCCCAAGAACCTGCAGTGGGGCGTGCTGTGGGCAGCAGGCTGTGATGCTCAATGTCCCTGGTGGCCCCAGAGCATCAGGGATGGGAAGCACCAACTCCTGCCTCCCTGGCCCCTGCCTAGACTCCTGCCATACCTTGACCTGCCTCATCCTCTTCTTGACTCTGTCCTTCCATCTGCAGCGTGCTGTGTGACAGTCAAGTCATTGTTTCCCCCATGCAGAATCCCTTCCCCAAGGGCCTCCTAGGCGCTGCCGAGTTGCACGTCAGCCTCTGCTGTTCTGTCTCCTTCGTGGGCAGTGACCAGCCCTCTGCTCCTGGATTTTTCTTGACCGCAAAAGCACTTTGGCTTACGCTCTGTGTTCTCAGCATTCTTGTGTGCATTGATTTCCACTGTGGTTGTTGAGATCATGGCGAGTCAGCCTGGGGCTCCCCCGGAGCAGGACCCCCGTGCCCCTGAGCACAGCCGTGTGACTGTCCCTTCCCCCAGCTGCAACTGCAACTCTTCCATGCCGAGGCCGGTGAAGGTGGCTGCTGTGGGAGGCCAGAGTTACCTGAGCTCCATCCTGCGGTTCTTTGTCAAGTCCCTGGCCAGCAAGACCTCTGACTGGCTGGGCTATATGCGCTTCCTCATCATCCCCCTTGGTAAGGATGGGCGGTGCCAGGCAGGTGTGTCGGACTCAAGGACTCCTCAGGGAGAGGCACTCCTGAAGCAGGATGGGGGGCTGGTCCGGAAGGGACAGTCAGGAGGACCAAGGCTGGGGCCGTGGCTGGAGACAACGGTCCGCCTCAGCCCCATCCCCTAACCCATTCACCACCATCTCTGGTTTTCCGTCTACCAGGTTCTCACCCCGTGGCCAAATACTTGGGCTCAGTGGACAGTAGATACAGCAGTTCCTTCCTTGATTCTGGCTGGAGAGATCTGTTCAGTCGCTCAGAGCCCCCAGTGTCAGGTAAGGCTCCCTGGAAGGGAGCTTCTCCCCAGCCCAGGCTCACAAGACCCGCTTTGGCTGAAGGAGGAGGCCAGGGCCATGCCTCTCCCCTCTTGCAGGCTCTAACCTTCCCAGTCCCTCTGCCAGTTCGCTTTTCCAGTGTTTCTTACGCGGAGGCTCATTGTGTGGCCCTTTTGCTCTGGCTGTTTCAGCCTCTGCTATTAGCTCTGCCCCTGCACATCCAGAATAACAGAGGCCATGCTGGGCGGTGTCCAGGGCATCTCTAGCTGTAACGATGAAACTTAAGAAGCAGGAAATGGTTCTTGATAACTGAGTAATACTGCACCAGCCAGGTGTCTTCTTGAATGGGTGGGGTGGTGGGGAGCATGAGGTTGAGCTCTTCGGGGCTGAGAGGCACTGGAGGCCTGGCAGCCATGAAGCCGTGATGGCAGAGATTAGGGGGTGAGGCTCCTCGGCCCATGGGTGGGTATGAGCAAGACAGGCAGGGGCAGGGGGGCACAAAAGGTGTGATTGGCCCAAGAAAGAAGACTTTGTGGAACTGCTAGCAAAGAATCGAAGGGAGAGGACCGTCCTTTGGGTCATGATTCCTGTTTCAGAACTAAAGGGGTCTTAGAACCCTTTCCTGAGGTCTACTCCTAGGGCCCAGAGGATCTTGGGAATAAGGCTCTCTCTGACAGTGATGGGTTTGCCTGCTGAAACCAGTGGGCCGTCAGTGATCTCTTGGCTTCTCTGCAGAGCAATTGGACGTGGTGGGGCGCGTGATGCAGTATGTCAACGGGGCGGCCACGACACACCAGCTTCCGGTGGCTGAAGCCATGCTGACCTGCAGGCACAAGTTGTAAGTCTGACTTTGGGTCAGGCGGGTTCGAGGAATCTTGCATCTCCTTCACTTGTCCACATTTCCCTCCTTCACTTCCCGTGCCCCTTTCATAGGAACCCACAAGGACAAGAGTGCTCTTCCCAGCCTCCCGTCCAGTACTCCTTTCTTGCCCTGGGCCTCCCTCCATGGGCCTGAGCTAACTGATTTTCTTTCCTGCCCCTCAGTGCAGAAGCAGCCGCCCTGGGGACTGAGGTTCAGTTGTGGGAAGCAGGGAGTGTAGTTTGCATAATCAGGGTTTCGGCCCCATTCTGTGTGCTCCGTGACTAATAGCCCCTCTCTGCCTCTTTGCCTCCCTGAGATGTGATGGGAAGCTGTAATGTAGTGTTCTGCACTCTGCTGAAGCCACAGTAAAATATGAAATATTCCCCGCTCCCCACTCAATTTAATCTGCTAACTGTGAAGCTTTCCTGTGTCTCCCAACAGCCCTGATGAAGACTCGTATCAGAAGTTTATTCCCTTCATTGGTGTGAGTACTGACTCCCCTCTGCTGTGCACCCCACATGTGCTCTTGGCCTTCTCATCTTCCCCTTACACAGGCAAAAATAAAAGATGTATCTAGAACATGGCTGGGCACCATGTCTCAATCCCAGCACTTTGGGAAGCCAAGGTGGGAGGATCACTTGAGTCCAGTAGTTCGAGACCAACCCGGACAGCAAAATGAGACCCTGTCTCTACAAAAAATAGAAAAATTAGCCGAGCATGGTGGCATGTGACTGCAGTCCCAGCTACTCAGGAAGCTAAGGCAGGAGGATCTCTTGAGCATAGGAGTCAAGGCTGCAGTGAACCGAGATTGTGCCACTGCACTCCAGCCTGAGCAGCAGAGTGAACCCATCTCAAAAGAAAAAAGAAAAAGATTCACCTAGAACAGTAGTTCACATGTGGGGGTATTTAGCACACGGGAGATATCTGGTAGTGTCTGGAGACATTTTTGCTTGTTATAACTGAGATTGGGGTAGGGAGGGGTATACCACCGACAGCTAGAGGACAGGGGTTGAGGAGGACCCTCCAGTGCACAGGATGGTCCCACAACAGAGAATGAGCCGGCCCTAAATGCCAGTAATGCCCAGGTGAAGAAACCCTGGGCTGGGACGTGTGTTGGGCCATCCCTCTTCATGTTCTCCTTTTCTGAATTGTGAACTCCCCCTGGATTCCTCACTGGTGTCTCCTGTTTATTATACCAGGCCCTGAACTTGGTGCCTTCCCCTAGGGAATGATGTCCAGAGCGTGGATCCTACAGGCTCCAGGGAAAAGGGAGCTGCCTCAGAAATAATGGAAGATGATGATACTCTAAAGAGAAGTCTGACAGATGGATATTTCTATCCTCACAGTCAGATGGCCCACGGAGGGAAAGGGTCTCTTTTTTTCTTTTCTATTGAGTTGAGGTAAAACATCTATACTAGTGGCTTTTGAAAATAAAGGAGGCTGGACTCGGTCGCTCAGCCTGTAATCCCAGCACTTTGGGTGGCCAAAGCAAGAGGATTGCCTGACCCCACACATTCGAGACCAGCCTGGGCAACTTGGTGAGACCTCGTCTCTACAATAAATAAAAAACTAGCCGGGCATGGTAGCTTGCACCTGTAGTTCCAGCAACTTGGAAGGCTGAAGTGGAAGGATCGCCTGAGCCCAGCAGGTGGAGGCTGCGGGTGGCCATGAGCATGCCACTGCACTCCTGCCTGGGTGATGGAGTGAGACTCCAACTCAAAAAAAAAAAACAGGAAGGAAGAACTTCTTGGATGTCTCTGATGTCAAGCATAGTGGCCATTAGTCTGTTTCATTGGTCAACACCTGGGCCACCAGCACAGACTGACCTAGAGAGAGGCCCTGTGCAGACCCCTTCTGAGTTCCCTTCCAAACAGGCAGGCATCGCTTTCTATAATCTCTTCGAGGATCCCTCCGAGCTTCTGGAGGAGAAGAGGCATGTCCCTTTTCCCTGCACAACCAAGATGCTGGGTGCCGTGGGCGGTCGGGGCAGGTGCCTGACCCAGGGAGATCCGCAGCCCCTTCTCATGCCCTGCAGAGCCTCCCGCCTGGCAGGCTACTTGTGCCCGGCTCGCCACGTTACAGGACCCCGGACATGGCCCACAGCCTGGGCTGGCAGTTGGACACATCTTCATGGTGCTGTGGGTTGTCACTCACCTTGACCTTATGGCCAAGACAGATATAAAAGATTTTTTTTTAACCGGGCTCGGTGTCTCAGCCTGTAATCCCGCGCTTTGGGAGGCTGAGGTGAGTGGATTGCCTGAGCCCGCAGGTTCGAGACCTGCCTGGGCAACTTGGCGAGACCTCATCTCTACAGTAAATCAAAAAATTAATTAGCCAGGCGTGGTAGTGCACGCCTATAGTTCCAGCTACTGGAAGGCTGAGGCAGAAGGATCGCCGGAGCCCAGCAGGTCGAGGCTGCAGTGGCTGGGAGCGGCCACTGCACTCCAGTCTGGGTGATAGAGTGAGACTCCAACTCAAAAAAATAAAAATTTTTTTAAAAAAGATTTTTTAAAATTTTGTAAACACAAGGAGCTAGCAGCCTCACAAAATGCCAGGAGAGCAAATTGGGAGTGGGGGTTGTATCCAAGAAGACTCAGATTGTCAAGCTGTTCCTCTCTGGAAACCAAAGTAAGGGTGCGGAGAGAATTGGGACAGACTTCAGCAAATGGCAGCCTTGTGTTCTCAGCAGCCTCAGGGGGACCATCTGCAGGCAGGTGCATGATCTCTGCCCCCCCAAGGGCAAGTCCAGTCCTCTGGCCTCCCAGCTCAGCTACTCCTTTACCTGGTCCCAGCCCAGGTGATAAGGCACACTGTCACTTTAGACCACAGCCTGGACATTCACGTCTGTCTCTAGCTATGTCCTTTTCTGGCCACTGGAGGGCCCCCTCTATCCTTTCCAGAATTCTCTACGGAGACTCAAAAATTCCTCAGGACTTTTTCAACCCCCCTTCAGTACTCCTGTAGATTCCAGGAAGGCCAGAGCTAAGAGAGCTGGTATCAGCACCATAGCACTTCCGCCTGGCCATGAGACAGTCCCACCCGACAGAGATGGAGCCCTCTTCCTGGGCCCCCTGCCCCTGTGATCTTGGATGAGATGAGATGAGGACGTGGAAATGGTTCCGCAACCCTTTATCCCCAGAGAAGAGCTGCAAGTCTCAACATGTTCCACCTCATTGTTGCCACTGGGTTTTGGAGGTTCTCTCCCCACATCTGGGCTGCTCTGGATTTGCAAAGATTGTAAAGCCTACAATAAAATCATGTGTAGTCTTGACTCTTGTGCCAGCCATCTGTTTCCGGCTGGATCCGAACATGCCTGCTTTGACCGGAGGATCTAATGAGTGTCTCTCCTTCCAGGTGGTGAAAGTGGGTCTGGTTGAAGATTCTCCCTCCACAGCAGGTGAGCCTGGGGCGCCTTTGCTCCTGTGGCATGAGGGTAGGGCCTCCCCTGTCTCCTCTCTAGTCCAGCAGGCCAGAAGTCAGAGATGCTGGCTGTCCTATGGAGAGCCAGAGTTTGAGCAGGAAGAACATGGGCACTCTCGCGCCCCACTTGGAGTGGGGGCCAGGGACAAAAGCCAAACTGCCTGCGACTCAGAGAGGAGTCTTGGCTCCTTGCTGCCAGCGAGTCAGAGCTGGCTGCCTCCAGCAACATGTTTGTCTCCCTGATAGGTGATGGGGACGACTCGCCTGTGGTCAGCCTTGCCGTGCCCTCCACCTCACCGCCCTCCAGCTCGGGCCTGAGCCGAGATGCCACGGCCACACCTCCCTCCTCCCCGTCCATGAGCAGTGCCCTTGCTATTGTGGGGTAAGGCTCTTGACGTTCCTGCCTGTCCTGCTGTGTCCCTCCATCAGCGTCCAGCAACCCGACTAATTCCAGTTACAGGCACACTGGGCTTATCATGTAGCAGTGGGAGCCAGGTGTGGTGGCACACGCCTGCAGTCCTAGCTACTCAAGAGGCTGAGGTGGGAGGATCGATGAGCCTAGGAATTCAAGGCTGCAGTGAGCTACGATCTCGCCACTGCACTCAAGTCTGGGCAACAGAATGAGACTCCATCTCTACAAAAAAAGAAAGGAAAAACAGAATTCAGCGACAGAATTCACTAACCAGCCTGGTCATTGAACAACTCAGTAAAATGGGAGCTCATTTTCCCTGTCTCACAGAATTTATGGGATCAGATCAGACAACGCTGGCTGAGAGGCCCTTTGTCGACTGTAAAGTGCTAGGCAAGTGTCTTGTTATGGGACTTCCCAGGGTGGCAGAGAGAGCATGGGCTTGAGAGGCAAAACACACCTGGGTTTGAGTGGCTCTGCCTTCTGTCCACTGCGGGTTAGCCTGGACAAGTGATTGAACTTCGGTTTCATCTAACGTGCAGTAGAGGTGAAATGGCCACTTCACAGGGTTGTTGTGCCGCTTAATTAAGAACCTGAAAGCTGGGCATGGTGGCTCAGGCCTGCAGTCCCAGCTACTCAGTAGGCCAAGGGAGGAGGATCCCTTGAGCCCAGGAGTCCAGTTCGAGGCCAACCTGGACAATACAGCAAGACCCCATCCCTTTAAAAAAAAGAGCACCGAGGCGGCCCCTGTCCGTGTGAGGCACTGGAACTGGGGCAGCGAGTGAGATGGGCAGCACCCTGCCCTCCTGGAGCTTGGGTCCAGGCTGGGCCCGCCCACACAGAGTGACAAGCTGTGTTCTGAGACTGCCGGAAGTGGTGATGTGGGGGGAAGGTGTTTCTTTAGGATTCCAAGTATCTAATGTTCAGATCAAGGAGGGCTGGGAAGGGTGGAGGAGAGTGCTCCTCCAGGAGGAGGCTCGGGGGAGAAGAGGACAGAGCCCGCCAGCTTTCTTCCTCTCCGCTGACATCCCCTTGTCTTCGCTGCTTCTCTTTCCTCTAGCAACAGAAAGGGAGGCTTTAGCCAGTGGCTTTCCTAGAAACGCCGAGAAGCCTGTCCTGGTCCTCCTCCACCCTCCTCCACCGGGCATTTCCCCTCATGACCTGCTGGTCTGCCTGGGACAGTGTAGAAAAGGAGGAAATACCCACACGGCCAAGTACACCCGGGGACCTTCCTGCAGGCCTTGGGACCATCCCTCACCTCCACCCCCTTCCCTTCCAATCTAAGCGTGTTTTTTAATGGAGCCAATGAAATGAGGCCGGAGGAGAAAAGTCAGATGACTCACAGCCTGTGTACCTGTTGTGTCTGACACCTCCTTTCAAGAAACATCAGCCCTTTCCCCTGGGAGTGAAAATTGTCACTGAGCTGAAAGTGCCATAAAAAGGAGAAAGGGAGGTCTGGAGGCGTGAGGCTGTCCTGAGGGCTGCTGCTTCCACCTGTGCCCTCCTGCTCTCCAGCCAAGCCTGCTGGGCATGCATGCGTGTGTGCTGCGTGTGTGCTGCGTGTGTGCTGCGTGTGTGCTGCGTGTGCCCACATGTGCCCACATGCTTTCTTCCTTCATAAAACTGCCTCTCTGCTTCCCTCATCCTCCAATGACATTTCCTCTCTGCAACTTGGGCCTTTATCTTCCCTGACTTCTCAGACCAGCCTGACGTGAGCACGTGGATGGCCTCCCTGCTCTCCTCGCCCTCCCAGGGACCAGCACTGCCCCGCCTGGCCCATGTAGTTGGCTCTGGGGCGGAGCCTGCCTCTCACCCTTGTTCCCTCCTCCAGGAGCCCCAATAGCCCGTATGGGGACGTGATTGGCCTCCAGGTGGACTACTGGCTAGGCCACCCCGGAGAGCGGAGGAGGGAAGGTGACAAGAGGGACGCCAGCTCGAAGAACACCCTCAAGAGCGTCTTCCGCTCGGTGCAGGTATCCCGCCTGCCCCATGGCGGGGAGGCCCAGCTTTCTGGCACCATGGCAATGACTGTGGTCACCAAAGAGAAGAACAAGAAAGGTAAGTGCCCTACAGCCGGGGGAGATCAGGGACCGCCAGGCCTCCCAGCTCCTGTCTCGGGGCCTGGGACATTCTGCTTCTGGAAGATCTTGGATGAGGGTGAAGCAGCCACACATCCAGGGTCCAGCCTCAGGTCCTGTGGGCAAGGAAGCAGCCCCAGTGAATCACTGGGTCACTCTGCTGAGCTCCACCACCTTAGGAGCTGAGGCAACCACTGCCGTGGTCAAAGGAGCCTTTCTGGCCACTATCCTCAGGATGGGCTATATGACAGGGAGGGACATCTCCATGCCCAGCCCGCTGATCCCCATGAGCTCAGGGAGCGGAGCATTTGCACCCAATCCCGGAGGCCACTCCGAAGAGGCTTCATGAGCACAAGGACATTACAGCTTTTTAGGAATGAAGGGGCACAAGATCCATTCTTGAGAAGAGGGATGGCTTAAGGCCCCTCTGGAGCAGGGGTGGCCCGGGTCCCATGCATGGGGGCAAGGCAGGAGTCCCACAGCCAGGCCGTGCACTTGAGTGCAGGCATGACCCCGGGCCTGCCCCCTCGGGCACTCCCAAGCGGCTATGCCTGTTCTTGTGGGTGCTCCCATTCTGCAGAGTCCCCCGAGGGATGGGCAGGGGGCAGTGCCAGACCCGGAGCCAGAACCTGTGGCCCGTAGCACAGAGACTTATCAAGGGTAGCTGTCGGCTCCTCCATGCCCTCCCTACCCTGGGCTCTTTTCCCAAGCTGGGAGAAAAGGGGACACTTCCCAGCATCCCGGGGCAGGGTTAGACCGCACCTGTGGCATGGCCTCCCCGCCCAGAGCAGGCCCCACCCCACAGGCTGCCTAGAACATTTCAGCTGGAAGGGACTTCAGAGACCATTTAGCCCCAGGTCCTCACTGTTCATACGAAGCTTTCAAAGCCCAGGGGAGAAGCAGGATCTTAGCCAAAGCCATTCGCCGGACAGGTCAGGAACCTGCAGATCCCACGGCCTGAGGCCGGGAAGTACTGGGGAAGAAAGGTGGGCTTTTGCGAATCTCCTCCCTTTGCCTCCAGAGAAAGGGAGCTTCGAGGCTCAGGAGGAGCAGGGCGGCTGCGTCCCCGAGGCTGGGACGGAGTGGTCCTGCTTGCTTTCCAGTTCCCACCATCTTCCTGAGCAAGAAGCCCCGAGAAAAGGAGCTGGATTCTAAGAGCCAGGTCATCGAAGGCATCAGCCGCCTCATCTGCTCTGCCAAGCAGCAGCAGACTATGTTGAGAGGTGCGAGGAGACAGGCAGGGCAGGAGTGGGAGGGAAAGGGACTCAAGGGGGAGGGAGATGATGGTCCCAGGGAACCTGGGGTGGCCTCAGCAGCCCTGCACCGCCTCTCCCTGTCACCTCCAGTGTCCATCGATGGAGTCGAGTGGAGTGACATCAAGTTCTTCCAGCTGGCAGCCCAGTGGCCCACCCATGTCAAGCACTTTCCAGTGGGACTCTTCAGTGGCAGCAAGGCCACCTGAGGCCCTGTCTCCTGGCCACTCTCCCTCCTGGCACTGCCACCAGCCTCACCGCCTGCGGGCAGGGGGGGGCAGCAGGCCTGGGCCCAGCCTCCCCTTCTCCTTTGCCCAGTCCTGAAGGACACTGGGGCCTGCCTCTCCCTTGCCCAGTCCTGAAGGACACTGCCACTGGGGACGCCGCCTTCCCCCCCGCTGCTCAGGCTCCCCCTGCGCAGCCCCCCGCGGCCCTCCTCTCTCCCTGCCCCTTCTCCCTCCTGCTCCAGGCCGGGGGTGTGTTGGTTTTGCCTTCTGGTGCCCAGGGTCCCTGAATCAAGGCCTCCGGACCTTCCTTCCCCCCAGCTGCCAACTTCTTTCTTGTGGCACCAGTTCCCCTCCTGGAAGGAGGACACCAGAATCCTGGTCCACAGAGGAGAGCCCAGTCCTCTCTCGGCCCCTCTGGCCACCAGACTCTCCCTCGCTGAGGCCCAGCTGCCAGATCCACTTGTCCCACCACCTCAGGTGGGGCCCAGGGCCACGTCCCACTCCTTAGGGCTCTCCACCTGCCCTGCAGCTTCCTCTCGGAGGGTGAGGGGCGCCCTGAGCTGAGGGCCCCCATTCCACAGTTCACAGAGCGGGAGGCGGCCCCTTGCCCCAGGACCCTGTTTCTGTGGCGATGCGCTGTGCTTCGAGGAAGGAGGGGCCTCCCGGTCTCCCCTGTGCACGACTTCCTTCCCACCCACCAGGTCCCCTGTAGATGTCATGTGTGTCCTAAGTGTTTCTCTGGTTCTTTGCACGGCCGGTCTCTTGGTTGTTCCGTGTGACGCGCCTTGTGCAGCAGTCCCTGTCCTGTGGCTCCCCCCCTTGCTGGTAACACTCCTCCCTCCGCCTCCCAGCCCATCTGCCCCAGCACAGCACTCGGAGAGATGGGAGGCAGACCCCTGCCAGCGTTGTGACCGTGGCCCCCAGACATCCCAGTTATCCTCCCCCCGTGTTGATTTGTCTGCCTTTCCCTGCTCTGTTCTTCCCGTCCTCAGGCCCTGGCCTGGGTACAGACCCACCTCCCCGCCAGGGCTCCCTCCAGCAGGCTCCACCCCCCCTCTCGCCACCGACTGGGGTCTGAACCCCTCAGCCTTGCCGCGTCTGTGTTCTCAGGAGAGGCTGAGGATGCAGGGCCCAGCCCCAGACCTCCGTGCCCCGCCAGCTCCCCTGGAGCTTTTCTCTCGCCCTCTCTCTCCTTCCTAGAAGTTTTTGCACAGAACTTCATTTGAAAGTGTTTTTCTCATCTTCCACACCCCCAACCCCTCCCACCCTTCCCAGGCTCAGCCCTGCTGTCCAGAGCGTCTCCTGGGCCAGAGAGAGGAGGAGGGGAAGGGACCGAGTCGATGTTGGGTTTTACATTCAATAAACTGGTGATTTCGTACCGACTGCCTTGGACCTCTGTGCCCCTCGCTGCCACGGGAGCTATCCCAGCCCTCTCTGCATAGCACAGACCCGCTCCCTTGAAAAGCCACCCGGAAAACGTGGGCAAGAAAACAGCGTATTCCCGTGCTCCCAATTATGGAAACAGGCACGAAGGTGTCTCGCCCAGCATGCAGCAGGCAGAGGTCAGAAACAGGAATGACACAATCCCATTTTTCCCTAGGGCTCACCACCACCACCCGCCCACCCACCCCCACAGGCAGTGGCATGTTGAGGGTAGTTTTTTCTCATCAAAGATCAGAACATAGCTTCTCTCCCCAGCTCAGCTTCCATCCTGTTACTGTGCCTGGAAGTTGGGAAAGTCTGAGCAAAGGGGTCTTTTCCCCTGCAGGGGGAGGGATGGGGCTGAGGCCCAGCTATTGAGTTCACTCTTCTGCCTACCCTTAACCTTGGAGATGGGAAACAGTCGCAGCCACTGTATCCTGTGTACCTGGTTCTTCACATGCTACCAGGACAGAGGCCTGCACACAGCCTTCCCTGTGGAGAAGAGTCTGAAGTTGATGGCTGGCAGGAAGGGCAGATGAGAGGGTGGCCATGCAGGGCGGGATGTCCCTGGCCTCACGCAGGCTCCCCAGGCCCTGCGGCCAGATGGCCTAATGGGGAGGCTCCGGGACCTTGGGCAAACTCTCACCCTAATGCAAATAATGCCACCTCTAAACGAGGGGGCTGGTGAGAGGAAACCGTGCCTTCCATGAACAGAGTGGAATGCCCCTGGGCCGTCCTGAGAGGGAGTCCCATGAGGGAGCGAGTGGGGCAAGTAGACGCAGCCCCGGCTCTCGGGTTCTGGCTCAGAACTGAGGAGACCGCAGAGCCAGGCCCGGTGGCTCAGCCTGTAATCCCAGCGCTCTGGGAGGCTGAGGTGAGTGGATTGCCTGAGCCCGTGGGTTCGAGACCTGCCTGGCCAACTTGGCCAGACCTCATCTCTACAATAAAAATAAAATATTAGCTGGGTGTGGTATTTGGAAGGCTGAGGCAAAAGGATTGCCCAAGCCCAGCAGGTTGAGGCTGTGGTGACTGGGAGCTTGCCACTGCACTCCAGTCTGGGTGACAGAGTGAGACTCCAGACTCCAACTCAAAAAAAAAAAGAACTGAGACCACAGATGGTTGTGGAGAGGAGCAGGAGGGTGAGGATGGGCTTCCCAGCTACCTGCACCTGACACCTGTCCCCACCTTCCTTCCCAATTGCCCTGCCCTGCTTCCGCCGGGGCCCAGCCCTCTCAGCTGTTCGTTTGCCTGCACCGTGGGTTCGCCTCCTCCCCACCCATAATAGCCCCCATACTGAAGACCAGAGACTTGACCAGGCTCAGTGGCTCAGCCTGTAATCCCAGCACTTTGGGAGGCCGAGGTGAGTAGATTGCCTGAGCCTGCGGGTTCGAGACCCACCTGGGCAACTTGGCGAGACCTCATCTCTACAATAAATCAAAAACAAGCCGGGCGTGGTAGCGTGTGCCTGTAGTTTCGGCTACTTGGAAGGATCGCGGAGCCCAGCAGGTCAAGGTTGCGGTGGCTGAGAGCAGCCACTGCACTCCAGTCTGGGTGACAAACTCTGACTCAAAAAAAAAAAAAAAAGGGCCAGTGACTTCCCAGGTTCCAGGGTTCCAGGCTCCCTGCCGCTGCCATGCCACATCCCTGCCCCCTCAGAGCAAACCTCTCGCAAAGAGCTGTGTGTCGTCCCCACGTCCTCCTGCTTCCTTTCCTCCTCACAGGCCCACCCACAGTTCCCTTCCCAAGGTCACCTATGACCTGGGCTGCCAAACCCTATCAGTAGCTTTGATGCAGATCCTCCCTCCTCGAATGCTTTCTCTACTTGGACCGTGGACGGCACTTCCTGTCCTCTCCCACCACACCAGCTGCTCCTTGGCCTCCTCACTGCATCAGCCTCACTCTCTCCCCACACTCAGCCCTAGAGTGAGCGTACTTGATCTTGATCCTGTGGTAGGAGACATGCCCCTGCGGAGACTTCTCCCTCCCACTGAGTGGAAACTTATCTGGGTCCTCCACGACCCTTTCTCTCGCACCCAGCATCCGATCCCAGGATGTCAGCAGGTCCCGTGGGCTTCACCCCGTAGCCCCTCGCCCCTCCCACCACTGCTGGGCTCTCTTACCTGGATACAGCAGTTTCCTCCTGATGTCTCTCTGCATCCAGCCTCCTCCTCTTGGAGGTTGTTCACTCAGTGGCCGGGGAGAACTTGGTGTTGACTATTGATCAGAACATGTTGAATTGCCCATCCGAGCTATCCGGGAGTTGCCCATCTCACCAAGGATGTAATCCAGAGCCCTGGTGCAGCCTAGGAGGCATCCCTGCCCTGTCTGGCCAGCAACTGCTTGGCCTCATCTCCTCTGTCTTCCTTCCTCACCAGCCTCAGATATGCCAGGCACACTCTGCCTCGGGGCCTTTGCATAAGCCGCTGGTCCTGCCCATCCTCCTCTTGCTCCTTCATCCAAATCCTGGCTGGAATGTCACCTCAGGAGAGCTTCCCTTCACCTATCCTTCTTTTTTTCTTTTATTCTTATTCTTAGTATTTGTGTTGGAGTCTCCCTCTGTAGCCCAGGCTGGAGTCCAACGACACACTCACGGCCACCGCAGCCATGACCTGCTGGGCTCAGGTGATCCTTCCGCTTCAGCCTTCCAAGTTGCTGGAACTACAGGCACACGCCACCACACCTGGCTAATTTTTTGATATATTGTAGAGATGAAGCCTCACCAAGTTGCCCAGGCTGACCTTGAACCCCTGGGCTCAGGCAATCCTCTCACTTCGGCCTCCCAAATTGCTGGGATTATGGGCATGAGCCACTGCGCCTGGCCTATTATTATTATTTTGAGTTGGAGTCTTACTCTGTCGCCCAGGTGACAGCCTTCCAAGTAGCCAGAACTACAGGCGCGTGCTACCATGCCCGGCTAATTTTTGATTTATTGTAAAGACAAGGCCTCACCAAGTTGCCCGGGCGGGTCTCAAACCCAGCGCCTCAGGCAATCCACTCACATCAGCCTCCCAAAGTGCTGGGATGACAGACTGAGCCACCGAGCCCAGCCATTATTATTATTATTATTATATTTTATTTTTTTGAGTCGGAGTCTCACTCTGTCGCCCAGACTGGAGTGCAGTGGCCGCTCCCGGCCAC